GGTGAAATGCAGCATTTTTAGTATTGCTTTTATTGTAAAATCATTTTTTTTTAAATATATATGTTTAATAAAAACTGTATTCATGTACATAATCTGTTAAATGCAGTATTGTAACTTAATGTGTAAGCAGACTGAGTTATTTTCATTACTTCTGCTTATTGTACAATGCATGTATGTATATATTTCGATGTAATGTTTATAACATTTACTGTATAATGTACTGTATTATCTGTCATTACATGTAATAATAATCTGTTACTGTATATATAATAATGAACTCGGTAATAAAAGCTTCATACATTACGTGTCTCTACATTCTATCTCTAACTCCTACTGCAACTCAATGTCTCCACTGCGGCCAAGCCCAATACTGCTCCGTAATTAAAAAAACCATCATGAAATATGATTCGTTCCAATGAGTAAGTCAACTTAACATACCACAGATCTGCTTAGCAATGATCCAAATATGCATATTTCTCGATGATTCATGGCAGGAAATAAAAAAGCAAGTTTTCGCTTCAACTCTAATCGTAAGTAAATATTCCGGGCCTTGAGGTATAATGCGTCTAATTCTTCTTCAAAGGGTTTGACTGTTTCCGGTAGTTTCCAACGAAATGACAACTGAGACGAAAAAAATGAAGCCTGAAAAGATTTTTCTGACATTTGAGACAAAAAAAATTTTTAGGACCCAAAGTCAACGCTGTCCTTATTCCTTTAAACGTTTCGATCATATACCTCCGAAGTAAATGTTACCGCCAGACCAGTCCAACAATCTATCAATATATGACATCGATGAGGTACAAATGTCGACAATAAATGTTCCTTGCAATAGTGGCATTTATGATAACTATTGGTGAAAGCTACTATTGTCTGCAAGTTTTGGCAAAATAATTTTAAATAATTAATAAAATAAACAAAAATATATAAATATATATTTAAAAAATCATGGGGAATAAGCAAAGTGGTGAGAAGAAAAAAGTTTAAAACAACAATAATACTAATAACAATCGTCAAGAATGACAGAAATGGCAAAACGCAAATATTTAAAATAGTTGCAAAAATGAAGTACTAAAGTTAGTTGGCTGCTGCTGATTATGATTCGTTGTTTGGTGTGACTGTTGAGGCAACAAT